GCATAATACCGCCACTTCCTGTACAAAGAATTATCATGTTTTAACAAGATAACTATCACGTTTTAACAAGATAACTATCACGTTTTAACAAGATACGTATCACGTTTTAACGAGATACGTATCACGTTTTAACGAGATACGTATCTTGTTAAAATGAGATACGTATCACGTTTTAACGAGATACTATCACGTTTTAACGAGATACGTATCACGTTATAACGTGATAGCGCTCGGATTTTTTTTTTTCCTGCGTGATAGCAATACGCTTCCGTAGACAGGCACAGACAAAAAACGATATAAAAATATTTTCAAACTCAATTTAATATTTGTTTTAGAAAGTCTAAACCAGGGGTGTAAAACTAATTTTCACTGAGGGCCACATGAGCATTTCCGGGGTCTTCAAATAGCCAGTTGTAATTAACTTTTGTGTTTAAATTTGACTAAAAACGTCGTCTCATTGCTACAGTTGAGCACAGCTAATAAACAACTGAGCTCTACCTGGTATTTCCTGCATAGAAACAGCGTTTTAACACGCCCCCCTCATAAACACTGAAAAGTACGACGTGTACGACTGACTAAATGTGAAATAATTAAGACAGAAATACTATTAAAATAAAAGAGTATTACTCACTGTTGAGTTGTGGTGAATAGCTGCCATCTTGAATTCTGAACTCTCCCACTTTCAGACAGGGAGTTCCCTAATGAGGGGCATTCCAGTATAAATTTATGACATGTAAGTGGAAAATTCTCACGTCCCTGTACAACTGACATGCAGTAAAAGTAGCCAGCAAAAATGCAGTTAAATGGGGATTTTACACTGAATTTTGCCAGCTCCTGGCTACTTTTGAATCCTGTACATCTCCACCTAGTGGTAGGATGCTGTCATTTTGCAGGTAAAATAATCAACATGCATAATGGTAGATGTAGTGAAGATATGCTGGTTTTAAAGCAGCTTATTTTAAGACATTAAAACATCTTTGAAGCTCTTGTGGGACACTTAAAATTTGGCCTTAAGTTTGACACATGGTCTAAACCAAAACCACCACAACCAAAGTCTGAAGCTAACTCTTACATATAACTTCTAAATGATCAAGATCTATAACAATATCTTACATTAGTTAAATAATTTCAATGAGCTCATGACACATTACACTATTTTCCTAAATGAAATGTAACAAACATGCAGAGTGTGAAAAACTGTGCACTTCCTCATAAGTTACAAAAGAATTAAAAAGGTAAGCCACAGCCTTCCTGCTGTTTATCAGATGCAATGGAAATTTGATCAATACCAAGAGTGTGCATCTCTATAAAAGAAGTTCTGACAGTTTGCTGTCTGGGAGCTTTAACACATGTTTTTAACAAATACAAAGAGAAAGCCAACAGATGAAAAACATTCAAGACAATTGTCGTATAAGTGAATGTCCCCKAAAATTATGTCCTGAGCTCAGACTGTGCCAAGTTAAATGTCAAAGTTAATTTCATATATTAAAAAAGGCAAGAGTGTTTTGTTTGAAAGGAATGCCAGAAGAACGCTTCTTCAAATGAACATGTCAGCCAGACTTTCAATGTCAGATCTGAACAAACTAATTTACCAAGAAGTCGTTTAGACAGACAAGCTCATTATACACTTGAGCTTGTTAGCAGCTACAAAACATTTGAACTTTGTGCAGAGTCAACAATAACTGACTGACAATACAGTCATGTGTAWTCTAAAGTCAAGCTGAAGGTCATAAAGCTGGGCACAAATAGTTCATAAAACAAAATGATCTGACGTGCAAAAAGTTAATCTACAGCAAAACAGCTGAAAATAATCAAGGTGTTCRAGTCCAGACCCAATGAGGTATATTGAGTTGAGGCGTCACGCCCAGTTTGTATGAGCACAACACCATGTTTGAAGAGACAGGCTGTCAGTATAAGTAAGCAGTTTATCATGGCTAGATTGACGAAATTGTTGGTACCCCACTGTTAATGACCCACAATGGCCACTGAAATAAGCTAAAACTGACAAAAGTAATAGGTAAAAATTAAAAAAAATAATCAATAAAAATCACACATTGGTTTTGAATTGTGGTTTGCATGGGTGGCATCTTTCAGCTCATTCCACAGATGTTAGGATTTAGAGCAGGGCTCAGAAAGACACTTCAGAACGGTCCCATGTTTGGTTCTGATCCATTCTCGGGTGTTTGTAGTGTGTTTTGCGTCATCATCCTGTTGGAAGACCGATGACTTGCGACTGAGCCCAGCACATTTGTCTCCATGCCTTGATAGTCTTGAGATTTCATCTTACCCTGCACAGATTCAGGACACCATGTGCCAGATGCAACAAAGCAGCACCAGATCAGAACCAAGCCTACTCCATGGATGTGTGTATGAACGGGTGAATGACTGTAAGTGTAAAGCACTTTGGAGTCTGAAGGGACTTGATAAAGTGCTATACAAGTTCAGAACCATTTACCATTACTGTTTATCTGTCCAAAAGACATTCTGAGAAGCTTTGTGGATTGTCTGTAGGGCTGGGGAATTAAATAATAACAATATAATAATTAGGCCTGTCACAATAACAAATTTTACTGGACAATAAATTATCTCAGAAATTATTGCAATAAACGATATTATTGTAGGAGACCAGTTTAAACTAATATAATGATATGGAAGTTTACATTAAAATTTACATTTTGTAAAAAGAAAAAACAACTGTTGGCAATCCCAAAGTTTGGCACGGTGCCCTGAGGGCGTCCTGAGGCGTCGCCAGCTGTATGAAGGCGTCAGAAAACTGAAGACGCTCTTCTGGCTAAATGCCTGTTCACGGGCCTCTCATGCTACAGAGGTTAGGAGACCATGCGCCTGACGAATACCAGAGTTCAGTCCTTACTATGCTAGGAACTAGAAAAGAGGGAGACATGAATAAAACAAGCATGCAAATGATAATTATTGTTCTCATTTTAATTTATCGTATGATTAATTGAATACTGATAATTTTACTAAACTCTGAATCAAAAAACACACGACATTCTGGTGGATGATTAATCAACCCTTTTCCCCCTGATCCTTACTTAAAATTTGTAAAACAAAAACTAATCAGTGATTAWTGATATCGACTGATAGGAAACACTTATATTGTTATGATTTGGCGTCCTCCTCAACTGTCTTTCATTAACACCACTTTGACTCAGTGACCTAAAGCGCCATCTGCCTTGTACCTTGTACCATGTACCTTGTAGTTCACCTTTGAGTGGGGTACCAACAATTTTGTCCATGTGTGCAAATGGTATTTCACTRGGATTAGAAACATCATTCATTGTGTACCCTGGCAACATGTTTTTACCTGATATATGTAGTGACAAGCCTATCAAATCTAAATACTGGTTGTCAAAGGCAAACTGACTTTCATTTATGTGCCGACTTAATTTTTTATGATTACCACATTCAGCTTCACCAGCTAACAGCACTGCCTGAGTTGTCTTCGCCCTGAACAATATGGCTGCCCTCTCTGAACATGTGAAGTCACGTGACCACTTGGATGAGGTGCAATGACTTGAATGGTGAACAAAATTCAAGGAATAATATGACTTGAGATCAGATTACTTTTTTAAATAAATGGTGGCTATATAAGTTTCAAATTCAACAGATTTTCTCCATCCCGTGCTTTTAAATGTATTTTCTTCTCAAGCATTTAGGTTATTTGTCATCAACCAGATTGTTTCATTCTTTGCGGATACATGAAGTCTTTGGGAGAATGCATTTTATGTATGAATGAACACAAAACTGTTTGGCTAATTAAACTACAAACCCATTTATGACCACAAAAAGGCAACTGTGTTAAAAGTAATTCTGCTCAGCAGCATGGTTTCCCTCTGCCTCTTTATGCCATGAATAAAGCAAAAGCATAATAGGTTTTTGTTTACCTCCCACTTGATCCGCATATTTGGGATTATCAAGGCGAGGGGCATGTAATAAATTTCCTCTTTTGTTGCAACACAATGAGTCCAGTGAATGGGCATCTACAGCTGAAAACTTAGTCACCCACAGAGCAACCATTTTGAAATACTGAAAGAATACCGACACTGTCGAATTAACTTAAAACACAATTTATTTGAAATTACATTTTAAATAGACAGTAACAAAATTTAGAAAGCACGCCAATGTAGTTATTTTCTGTTTACTGTAAAACTATTTACAAAATAAGCATTTTTTTGTCTTCAAGTTTATTAGAAACTGCACAGTCTTCTGTCCACAGGGAGGGACTTGGATATGTCAGCACAGAGGCTGAAAGGCCACCAGTGTGATACTGCACTACAAGGTTGCTTGCAACATCAGTGAAGACTTAACATTTACGTGAAAACATCTTCTCTTCATATATTATGCTCCATAGGTGGTTCCCCACAAAGAAACCAACCAAACTAACCAAGCAAACGTGGAACCCCAGCTGTGGAAGTCATAGACCTCATTGTTCTTAACAAGAAACTAAAAGCTGTAAAACAGTCAAATTATCTTTGGAATCCATAGTAATTTTAACAAGCGGACAGGGTCAAACTTCTTGGGTATGTTTCCCTTCTAGAGTCTAAGCCTTCTTCATCTTTCCATTGTGGGCGCGGCCATTTTCATAGAGAGCAGAGCCGTTGCTGGTACAGTTGATAGCTGCGTAGTTGATGCCATTACTCGTGCCGTTTTCGTAGCATGTGCCGTTCTCATGCACCTTGCCGTTTGTGTACACGGTTGTGCCGTTCTGGTGATGCTTGATCTCCTGTTTGGGCAGCCGCTTACCCTTCACGTAAGCCTGGATCCAGAAGTTGGAGAAGAGGATGAAGAACAGGGTTCCGTACATCCAGACAAGGTGGATGATTACCGGGAACTGGTAGTCACAGCGGTCCATAAAGTACCACTGGGTGGCGTGAAGAGAGACCAGGACAAACTGGATCTGTATGGGGGGAGAAATCAGTGGTCAGCCATGCACATGTGTCAAACTATTCAAGCTTCAAAAATGAGATTCAAATCAATGTTTTTTAAATCACAAAAATAAAAAAAATGATTCATGTTCTGAGTTTTAAAAAAAGTTTGTTCTGTAAATAGTTTAAGTGCCTGAATGAATGCAAGTCATGCAGTAGAAATTATGAACTACTGAAGTATGCATGAACAAGAATTGTCATACTCAATACAACTTACTTTTTTATTTTATGATCATTTTTTTTTTTGTCTTTCAATTATTTAGTTTTACTACCTAATGTTCTTGGCTTTTTTCCCCCATACACAAAGTTAAACAATGTTGATAATGTGAAGGTGTGTGTGTGTGTGTGTGTGCGTGTGTGAGAGGGAGAGAGGTTGTTCTGTTCAGATATGTGTGTAAGTGATCTGTAAGACTATTTTTGATGATCTGTGTGAACTTGGTGATTTTTGCAAACGTCCAGTGATGGTAAACTGATAAATGTCAGCCTTGTTTACTGTATTCTTCTCAAAAGCACCACGTTCCAACTAATTTTATATCACCACCAGCCAAACTGACAGAAAGCAGACAGTAAAAAAAAAAAAAAAATTACAAATTAAAAAATAAAAACACCCGACGGGACTTGAGGAAGTGACCGACGCGACACAAGCCGTTTTCAGCTCTGTCTTGTCAAACGAACCCCGCTTGTTAAAAAACAAGTTCACCAAGTAACTTGAAGCATCATACAAACTGAAACAGAGGCGAGCTGGACAGCACCGTGAGCACAAAGATAAGCTGTCTGCACGCATCTGTGTGTGTGTCTGTCTGTGTGTGTGTCAGTTTCAGGCTCCCGCTGCAGAGACCAGACTGTGAGGGGAGGGGCGGGCTCTCTCTCTCTGTGACTGGCCAATCACAGCTCATGAAGGCAGTCAGTTACCCAATGAGGATCTTCCTTCAGAACGAGCARGGATATTGACAAGTTTTATTTGTTTCATGCTCGTACTCGTCAAAAATGCTTTATCCGTAACGAATACTCGTCTGAAACGAGTATCCGGCTCAACCCTACCTGCTACTTCACATCTGCCACAAGCATTTTAACAAAATGAAATTGCATATTGAACAATTGTTTTAGATTTTATAGTTGGGGCGTAGTTTATTGTGTAGTTTAGTCAGTTTTAGTGTGCTTGAATCAAAACAATGAGGTGATTTTTGAACATGGAGCTGCAGCTGAGGGAGYCGTAGGTTGAACTGCAGACACAAAGATGGACCGAGCCAAAGTCAGAACCTTTTCATACAGAAGAGAGAAGCTCAAAGGCAGAGATGGAAAAAAAAAACCCAGTCTAAGACAGAATGAAGACTTTGACGAGGAAGTAGGCGATCCATTATTAGTTTTAGAAGAGGAGTGCCAAGTAGACTACCGGGGAGATCCCTGGTCTCGTGTGCCGGTCCACACAGCAGCATGAATCATTAATCACCAAGTGCCAAATATTAATCGGCAACAGTTTTACTGACATTTAATTATACACGATTGTACCAAACCCTAGTAATGATTGCTGCACATCCTTACCAGCTGAATAGCTGTCATGTACTTCTTCCACCACAAAAACTTCTGGAAGCGTGGGCCAGCAGCAGAAAGACCGTAGTAGAAGTACATGATGATGTGGACAGAAGCGTTCACCATGGCATGGAAAGATCCCATTCCACCTAAAGTCATAACAAAGCTTAGTCAAACTCCTACATCCAAAATTATCTCCAACCTTAAAACAATCAAGCATTATAAAAAGATAAAAGTTTAAAACAAGAGTCAAAGTTCATGGTTTAGACTTCCCAGAGAAATTAAAGATTTAAAAGCAGATTACAACCCAAGGTTTCTTCAAGCACCATTTAACGAGGTCAAAGGAGACTGTGACTGATTGTACAGGTTTTTTTGTAACAGGTTGGTACGCGGGGTGAAATATTTAATCCACAGGCRTCAGATGATTTTTGTCTCGATTAATTATTTTCCCAGTTAGCTTGATGTGTACTCACCAGGAGCATAACCCACTCCCCACCACCAGGTCCAAGGCATGAATGAGTGGTGGAAGATGTGCAGGAATGTGATCTGGCCGTGTTTTTTCCTCAGTACAAAAAAGACCTAAAAGAATAAATAAAAGTGATTTGTAAATGGCAAGCCAAGAAAATAAATGCCTAACTTCTTTTTTTTTACTTAAAAGAAAAAAAGAACTTACTGTGTCCATCAACTCTATGATCTTTGAAAACCAGAAGAGCCACGCCACCCTGACCATCTTTAAATGACGAGATGCAGGTTAGACAAATTTCAAAAACAGTTGAAGACTAAGGAATCTTTTTTATTATTATTATTTTTAGAAAGAACTTTGGGAATTTACTCGTAGAGCTTGAGGACTGTTTGAGGTATCAATTGGGTCACATCTCCAGGTATATGTTGTAAGCCATCCAGACATCAGAAACTGAAAGTTACAACAAAATTTGATTTTCATGACAATATTAGATGTAAAAAAACAAACAAATAAAAACTAGAAAAAATAATATTTGCTCAAAAATACATGAATCCAAATTCCCATAGGTGAGCTGTTTGTCACCTTGAGATGCAAACAAAAGTACAATAGGATGAATTTGAATGAATGAATGAATTTATTAATGGAGGACAGTGTGCAATTAAAACAAACAAAAACATTTGATGCATTGCACCAGATTTAGCCTAAGGCTAATTTACATCTGTAGTCCTCCAGATAATAAAAACAAAACAACATTCAACAGTAATAAAAAAATAACAGAAAAATAAAAATATAAAATTAAACATTTTGCAATTAATAATAAAAATARTTAAATACCCCACCCCATGATTCTTACCTCAAAAACAATAAATACTGATAGTGCCACCAGCATGAAGTTATAAACTATCATGGGTTCCTTGAGCTGGAAAGGAGTACGCTTGGCCATTATGCGAGGTCCAAGATACAGTACAAAAAACAAATAACACAGCAATATAACTGTCATCGGAACAGGACTCCACATCAGAGGATAATCTTTTATTCGTGGATCTAAAAAAAAATAAAATAAAAGAAAATAAAAGATGTGACTTAATGTAAGAAAACAAAATAAAAAGATTCACTTTACATTTTGTTGTGTAAATCACCTACCAATTCCTGCCAGAAGATCGACATAGAAATCCATGGCTCGTGAGCCAACCTCCTGGATCTGCTGAAGCATACTGGCTGTTGTGAACTGTTATGACCCAATTATCTGTGGAGAGAGAGAGAGAGAGAGAGAGAGAGAGAAAAGCTCATCATTTAGCTTTAGCATCTTAAAGCTGAACGCAGGACCAGAATGCAAATTGAAGGCAACATTTCCTTCATGTTTGAAATGATTATCTTACTGACCACACGTGCAAATTCAAAATGATCCCATTTAAAGCAGATTGGGATTTATAACAAGGAATCCTTCAGTTTTTTTTTGTCTCGACTCCAAGCACTCAGAAATGGCCTGATATCTAAGAGGTGGAGCTTCATCCCACAGCAAGGCCGAGTGTGTGCATCAGTTAAACCCAAAGATTAAGACACAAAACCCAAACTGCTCTCAAATAAACACCACCAGAAGGATTTACTCACTCACCGAGTGCCCTGAACTCAAAACTGCAGGGCCCAGATTATTACAGTTTCTTCAACATGTGCTCCATTTTGTTGTGCAGCAACAAGATTCACGGAACACTGKAACAGGAAACCCGCAGATCAAATACAAACCGGTGCCGTGACGTGTGTTCAGTACGCAGGGATGTTGAAATGGGTTTTAAATTTGGCAATTTTCTGTTGAGAAAGTCTTATCCTATCAAGTGCAAACAGAAAAGCCCACAGAAAAGCAGTCGAGGACAGAGGGTGTGGTCTGTTCAGACAGAGCCTTTGTTGACGGTGCTTTGAGTTTCAGAACCCGTGGCCCTCCTTCAGACAATATGATTAAAAAAGATAATTATTTCAGTTTGAGGAATGAAGGTCGGAGCAGAGCTGTCAGGGACAAGGGCAGCAAAAAAATAAATAAAAAAAGCTTTAACTTCTCATTTTTCATTTTATCTACTTAGATACATTTATTTTTAAACCCAGGCCTACATCGAGAAGATATTTCATCTTAAGGAAATACTTTTGCAGTTACTAGACACAACTTGGACCCACCCCCCGTTCATCACAGTGCATCGTCAACAACTTAAGCATCTTGTTGACTTTTATGGTTACAGCAGATTTACTTTGGTATTTCTGACTGACTTCCGACAGCCGAGCCAATAATCAACTTGCTTTTGTTAGTAAAATAGTCAAGTGCTGGCTGTATAAGTGTTTAAAAGGGTTGCCAAACGTGCACATTCTTGTATTGCGTAACACTTACACACGTTGCATTTCAGAAGTGGTACGTAAAACGCCGTGTGTGTTCTCAGTCACTTCATATATTGATAACCGTACGTATGTGTGTTGTCCAATGTGAGCAGTTAAATTTATGAAGTCATAAGATGCTTTCTTCAAAAGGAGACTAGTCTCAACCAGCAACAGGGGCAACACAAGACTTAAGAATTCCACCTCCTGAGAAACTGTTTACCTGTAGTCAATAATTTATGTGATATAGGTTTGAACAAGCAATTCAAAGAAAAATGTGCTGAACAGCTTTGCAATAATAGGGAAGGACTTTGTTTTTAAACATTACAAAAATGCAGAATGTGAAGATGCAGCATCTTTAAAAACGTCACATAAAATTGATCGTGTCAAATATTCTTAGATTTTTTAAAATCTAAGACCTCGATGAAGACGACTTCAAAGCAAGCCTCCTTCACGTCAAATTTACAACACAAAACTCAAAGTTGAAATATCTGACATTGATACRAAATAGCCTTTAATCTGCACCAACTGAAGACTCCTCAGGATTTTGTCCAGAGGCATGCTGGAAACCTGGTCCAGACCGTCACAAGTTAGCAGTCCTCAGGAAGACAAGAACTTTCTCATGACTATGATAGGAGTCCAATATTCACATGACAGCGATGCTGTTCGCTGTGGACACGTGACCCATTCAAGCAGCTCAGAAAACTGTCTCCTTCCTTTTCCTTTTCAGCTGATCCAAGTAACAGATGCTACTAACTCATTTACCAACCAGAGCTCATTTACTCAGCCTACATGTCCCAACACCCAGGCCATTCATTACAGAGTTCAGCTTCGACAGCAGAGAGTTTGGTTTACATCTACAGAGGAGGGAAAGTGTGGAAGGGAGGGCAAACTTAAGTACCATGTCAATGAATCATAGGGATGGAAAAAGGGAGCTCACGAGTTAGTGGTTAATGATGAACAGACTAAAGTGGAGAGGTTAAACATTTGGGAAAAAAAATAATCTAGGAAWAAGGACATCAGCTTATTTAACATATGCATTAGAAAAAAATATATATAATCCTGAAATGATCAACAGAAATTTAATCAAGAAGAAATCATGCGGGCAGATTTCACACCCAAGTTGTTTCAACATCCAGTTAACGTTGAGCAACTTACCTTTTGAAAAATAGTGTTTMTCCCTTAAATCATCAAAAAGSAGAAGCAGAGTCTTCCTTTCACAGRGTGGCAAAGGCCTCTCAGTGGACTGCTAAGCACAAGCAGGCAGCAGCAAAAACAGAAAGCAGCAGAAAAGGAAGAGAAAGACGGCCGGAGATGTGGTGGAAGAAGTAAACTGACAAAGTGTGACTGGTACAGCAGTCCTCAAATCCCCACCCTCCCTGACTCACYCAGTGGATGAATAACCAGCTCTCAGAGCAGAGGGAGGGAAATGGAGGGGAAAAAAGGGTGTGAGAGAGCTGTGTGTGTCCATACCAGAGAGTACAAATAAGGTTAGAGGGACAGAGACGACCCGTATTTAAAGCAAACAAACTCAAAAGAAGAAGTGAGTCATTAAATTATGACCACTACCCTGATCTCAACGAGTTCACTCCCACTTTTTTCTCCTAAAGTCACACCCTGTACTTACTGAAACATAATCCTGGAGTTGCCATGCAAGTTTTTTTTTCCCTTTCTTGGGGTGGGCTGATATTATTCACATGGAGCAGGCGAGAATCAGTGGAGACTCTGTTATCATGAAGGAGGCCATTGTTGTGCCTATCCTGGATCTCTACCCAGCCGACACCCATTGAGCAAAACTAGCTCGAGTTTCTTTCTTTGTGGGGAATGCCTCTAGTTAAAATAGTTGTCCCAAAARGGTTGTTTACGCAAGACTGTTTAAAAGAAATACTTAGACTTAAAAAAAATGCTTTGACATGAGTGATTGCAACAGGATARGGCATGACTCAAGACTAAAATCTCTTTACAAGTTAGGTAAGAAAGTTGTGTTCATTGATAGGAAACTATTTACCCACATGTCAGTGCCACACCCAACCCCAATATGCAGAAACATTATAACAATTGCCAATAGTATTTTGAAACACAGGGATCAMCTCAGGTAAATAACCTGCCTGTTAAACAAAGGTACATCCATTCAGAACATTTTCAAGTTTGTCATATTTACAGTCACATGAAAAAGTTTGGGCACCTTTGTTAATTTTCCTGATTTACCTTTAAAAATCATTGATTGTTTGGATAAAAAAAATCAGTTAAATATAACATATAGGGGACAAACAGTGATATTTGAGAAGTGAAATGAAGTTTATATGATTTACAGAAAGTGTGCAATAATTGGTTAAACAAAATTAGACAGGTGCATAAATTTGGGCATCGTTGCCATTTTATTGATTTCAAAACCGTTAGAACTAATTAGTGGAACTCAGATTTGGTTTGGTAAGTTCAGTGACCCTTGACCTCCATACACAGGTGACTCCAATTATGAGAAAGGGCATTTAATGGAGGCAGTTGTAGGTTTTACTCTACCCTACCCAGAAAGAGTGGGTTCTCTCCGCGTTCTCCGGCTTCCTCCCACAGACCAAAAACATGACTGTTAGGTTAATTGATAACTCTAAATTGTCCCT